GCTTTACTCTCATTTCTGCCATGACCCATGACACACCAGGGCGAATTGCTATCGACTGTGCTATTCGCAGCCTCTTGTCATAACCGCGCAAATCTGTCACCAACTTTCAAACAGTAGCCAATTCAGCAGTGGCCGATCGCCAGAAGGTCCAGGGGACGGCCAAGATTGACCTGGTGCAAATATATGGAAGGAGTCTGTTCCAGACTCTAGTTCTCTTCTGCCGAAGCTCAGACTCTGGCACACGATCGGAAGCGTTGGAGGGGAGGTGCTCTCTGGAGCGATCATAGATCGTCCAGATACCGCCATCGCCCAAATACATCGTCATAGCAGGGCAAAATCATCTCGCGTCAAGGCCCCAAAATAGACTGAAAAAACATAAGTGATAACTAGCATTATGCAATATCTTATAAATGACGGACACAAACCAACAGCGGTTGCAAGCAAGCGTAGATAGTGAAGAGAGGAGTTCGCATTCCTCACATTATTGATTACGTTAACCAGGTTATCTTGTCACTAACAGCCACTCCAAGGTACTTCTCATTTTTAACCTAGGCGAGCAGAGTCTCGATCAGACTAGTCTCGTCTGTGTTTTAGCAAGGTTAACGATCACGTGACTGCAAGTGACGAATCGTGAACAACGAAATAGACACACTCGACCCCGTTCTTCGCCTAGGAATAAATCTCTGTGAGCTACGCACGAATACTTCTGTAGAAATATGTACCCAAAGTAAACATTTTAACCGATAATTTAGTGTTTGATTCTTATGCTATATAAAAGATCGCTACAAGACGTATATTAATAATCAGTCAATCGTAGTTCAAACAAAGCAGGGATACGACGTCAACTGAGCAGCTGCTGAATGCTTCAATTAAGATTAAGTACATATTGAATATATGAAAACCTCTTAATCCGAGACTCGGGTTTTTCCGTCACTCGGCCAGGTTGATGTTTGCCCCATCGGTCAGACAAACATCGTTTTGCAAGTGGACCAGCCGAAGGTGTAGTTGTAAGATAAACAACGGAGCTGGTCTGGACGCAAAAAAAAGCGGAGCTCATGTGAATTACTTATTTTCGTCAATGTCGCTGTTTGACTTTTGTTTACTGAAGCTGAGCCGGTCAGACGCCAGGGCAAAGTAGCAGGGACAGATTGGTGAAAAGGCCTCGCCTTAGACCCTGCGAGGTCAGGAACCCGCCTACCTACACAGGCTTTCGTCCATTGTCTGATAGCGCCGTCGCGGCCGCTGGCAGACAGACCATGAATTAGTGGCAGGAACATAAATCAATAGTCTGGCGCAATTGGTGGAAGATAAACGATTGACAAATCACTACAGAGAGGAAGTACCTCCGAACGCGCCAATGTCTAGTCTATCTACAGACATTGCCCACGGAGCTTCGGTTTACAGGACGATCAACATCTGACTGGACAGGTGATCTTCGTCGTCGTCGTAGTCGTAGTCGTCGTATCACCATCAGCGTTCGACGCCTGTTGGTTGACGCTGAGCCGGAACGGCTAAACCAGTGGCTACTGGCTACTGTTCGATGCCATGATGGCACAGCTCCGTCGGAAGGTGGTGCTCGTCGTCCTGGCACTGTTCGTCATGAGCATGCTGTACTACGGTACGACGTGGCCCCCAGACGCGGACCAAGTGCAGGCGATGCACGGCGAGAGGAGCAACGAAATCGAGCTGCGTGACTCCACACCACAGAGGCACTTCCGCTCGGACCTTTTCACTAGAAAACGGAGGCTACCGAGAGTGGACGCGGACTCTAGAGGACGAAAACAGCAGACAGGGGCAAGAAAGTGGAAGGAGACCCGTAGCAGCAACAGCAACAAACACACCGTCACAGGTCATCAAGCACCGGTGGAACTGCTGGTCGAACGCCAGCAACGACCACGCTTTACGATCGTAACCGCTCTGTTCGACATAGGCAGAGGCAACTGGAGCCACTACGGACGGCTTTATTCCGAATACTTCGCGTTTATGAAGAATCTGTTGAACACCGATGTGCAGCTGTTCGTGTTCACCGACCAGAGCGGAGCAAAGTATGTCCGTGAACAGCGGGCATCGAAGAGCGACCGTACTCATGTCCAAGTGAGCGACTTGCATAGCCTGCCGTTCTATCACTATAAGCCGGTGATCGACGACATCATCAGCAGGGAGGAAAACCAATGTAAGTTTCGTTGCTGTACAGTACCTGTAACAAACCTGACCTAACCGCTCTTTCCGTGTTGCGTTTGCTCTTAATGCACCACTGCCACCAAGCGATACCGGGTGGTTAAAGAACGACAGCGCTGCACATGGCAAAATGCGCCACGAAATGCACACATGAGCAGTAGCTTTCGCTCGGTACTCTAGCGACTACAGTCCTCAAGTTAACAGAATTACCTTGGAGGCAAAGCTCATTTCTGCTCCCTTTCAACGTTCACACAATTGCAATCAATTTACTCCTCTTACCTCAAACTTACAGCAGGTATTTGTGTGCTTTCTTAAGTCAAACTTCATTTTTGCAGTATTTAGGAGGTAAACACAAGTATTGAACTTATGCTGCTCGCTATGATGTACAGTACAGCAAAAAAACCCCAGCTCTTTTAAGAATATTAACATTAACTGATGTATAAGCGACGCGACGCCTTTACGTGTCCTGAATCACAGCAAGTTTATCATCTGTCGAAGAACTCGCCGGTTATGGAAAAATGTAATCGCTGGTCTGCATGAAGTGATCGCAGCGTGATTTCCTGTGTGCAGTTAAGATATAGTCTCTATCCAAGCATGAAATCGCACAGCCACGAACAAGGTTGCTGTGTTTTTGTCTATCGGTTCCGTAGTTCATTACAACTGAGCATTTAATCTGCGGGCTTTTGGCTCAGCGATCTCCAAATCTCTGAGTCAGCACTGACTCATCATGTTTTCATCCATAGCCTTCAGCTGTTCGACTTCGACCACGGACTGATTAGAAAATTAACCACATTACAGGTGCTTGATGCTATCGAATTTTGCCGAGCTTCTTTGTCTTTTTACGGTTCAGAACGTGCCAAAGACAAAAACTCAAACCAATGTTTAGATACACTGCTAGAGACTATGGCGCGATGTGCCATCTTTCACTCGTCTAGTATTTTGAAATTCATACGTGGCCGTAGAATATGAAAGTTGTTTTTTAATCGAAGTGAAATGCAGCATAAAAATAGTTGATTTAAACTGTCCATATCTCAAGCACGTTCTTCAATTAGAGCGGGGAGGCCCTTCCCCTTTGCAGCTGTTTTTTTCTCGGCGGAAATGATTAATTTTCGTTCGTCAAACCGAAAGGCCTTTTACTCGAACCTGTGCGAAGGTTCTGACTCATACGCCATTCGTTCTCAGTAGCATCTCTCCGCATTTTCACACATGTCCAACTGACTTTTTCATTGCCAATTAAATGGTACTCCAACGTATTGGCGAAGATCATAAAAAATGCGATTATGATCAGAAACGCTCACTCGCTGAAAAATTTCTCTAATTCATTTTCCGCCAAAAATATAAATTGCACTGGGTCAAAGAACCACTGCTCATACTGTGAATCCTTCATGTATTCTTTAGAATTGAAAATGATACATTGTGTTTTTGCCATGATTTGTGAAACTTGTTTTAATTCTGATTCATCTTTTCAAAGATACTTTTTCAGAAGAAGATACTTCTTCAGTGGTTTTGCACAAAACGAAAAGACAGCTGAAAAGATCTTCATTATAGCCGTTAACGTCCTGGTCAAACTATATTTGCCACCTTTACAGGAAACTTAGATTTTCTGCTCTCAAATATTGCCAGCTATAAAAAAACTATGCACCTGTTTATTCCTTGTGGCTAGAATTATTAAGGGGGCATGCAACGTTGCTTGAGATCTTACGATGAGGCTGTGTATCAATTTATACACTTAAATACAATTCACTCTCGTCAGTCAGTCAGTCAGTCAGTCAGTCAGTCAGTCAGTCAGTCAGTCAGTCAGTCAGTCAGTCAGTC